AGTGAAACAGACAAACTGAGTCAGTCTTAGCAGGTTAACAAACATAACAGAAAATTGGGAGTTAAACAGTATGGTAGACGCTAATGCTAACTTAACACACCAGGAGACAGGAGTTTGAGAAGTCAGCTCAGCATTCTGAGGCTATGAAGTCATCAGAAAAACCAACAAGCCAGAGGCAAAGACCAGTTTATTACAATAAAACTCACTGAGAGAGGCCACTAGCCTGCCCTGTTCTGATAATAATAGTAGGGACTCCCCCAGATGAGGTGTCACATCTTTTTGAACTAAGTGGCAAATGCATGCATAGAAAAGTTAAGATGGTGACTTCTTGGTTAAAAAAAATATATATATATAGTTGTAGATAGACACAATACCTTTATTTTATTTATTTTTTTTATGTGGTGCAGGGGACTGAACCCAGCATTTTACACATGTTAGAAAAGCACTCTACAACTGAGCCACACAACCCTGGTCCCAGGATGATAACATATTTTTCCTTTGCTTTATTAATATAGTCACCATCCCCCAAGGTAGGTACTTAAAATGGTAATGAGACTCATTGCAAGAAAAATCACAATGTAGAGAAGAGCGCAGGCACAACTAAAATAAAACAGAGTGAGAAATAGACAGACCCTATCAGCCTACCTGGATGCTTGACAATGGTGAAAACAGAATGATCAGAGGGAGGACAGTCTTTCTAAAGATGGTACTGAAACAGCTGGACAGCCACAGGCCAACAAAATAAGACAACAACAATAAATGAACCCTCACAGTGTTTTACAATGAGCATGACATAGATCATAGGTTTTTATGTAAATTGTAAAGTCTATAACTTTTAGGAGAGAAACAAGAACAACATAGAAGTCAGAGGCAAAGCTTTTCATGTATTAGCCTCCCCCATAAAAGAAAATACTTGCTCTTATGGAGACCCTGTTAAGAGGAAAAGACAAGTGACCCATCAGGACTTTAAAAACTAGCAAAAGTAAGCCCAAGAAATCATCAGCTTTCTTGGGATCACTATGTCCCAAGAAAGGTGATGATTATATGGATTTATCCACAGCAGCAATTTTGCCCAAATGTACATAGGCACACATGTACACGGGCACATAAAACTGGTGAAATCTAAATAAGTTCTGTGGATTGTATTAATGTCAATTTCTGGTTACTTAGTAACAGAAATAGACTACATTCAGAGATAAGTAATATGATATTAAAAGCATGTCAATTGGGAAAAACAGAAGAAACGTTATATGAAACCTCCCTGAACAGTTTTGGAGCAAATTTCTCTGAAGCTGTGATTACTCCAAGACACAAATTTAATCAATAAATATTTGTATTTTTTAAAATAACCTGAGCATACACTTCACAGAAAATGATATAAGCTCAATCAACAAATATATGAAAAACTATTCATCATCTCTAGTAATCAGAGAAATGCAAATCAAAACCACTATCATGTCAATCCAGTCAGAACCGCTATTATTATGAAGATAAACAACAATGAATGTTGGCAAGCATGGGGAGAATAAGGCACAGTCATCCATTGTTGATGGGATTGCAAATTGGTGCAGCCAATATGGAAA